AATGAACCAGTTGATGCGTGTTAACCTGAAAGTAATCACTAGTATTTTAAGGCTTTGGTTTAATCTGTCCACTTTATCGATACTCTAGATAAGGCGTTTCCGAAATCGCTACTACTACGACGCAGATAAACGCCACGCGATCTGACTCATGCCATGTGATGTGACTGTTGACTACCAACTCCTGAATCGATAATTTTAATCTAAATTTTTCGTTATTAAAATTTCTTAGCGAATAGAGTCGCTTCTCTAACTGGTGGGTTCGAGTCCCGCCTTAGGCAGTTCGATTTTTTAAGTTGTGTATTTAAAATTTAAATTATTCGTTATTAATATAGTAAAATAGCGTAGGTATTTACATCTTAACTGCTGCTGAAAATCAGTCACTGGCATGCTGCCAAAGCGGCCAGGTTATACTGTGAAGGTGAGACACCTTTTTACCCGACTGCGCCAGAAGGAGGGTTATTTTTTTGGCCACATTTTTATATTGATTGTATAAAATATGATCGTTTCTTTTCTTTTCTTTTTATTTTGATGGCAAATCATTGATTGGGTAGATTGTCACTTGAATTACAATAGTTGATTACCACTTCAAGTTACCCATTCAAGGAATACATTCTCCTACATCCTTTGTGTGCTCTCCGCGGAACTAGAGCTTCATTAATTGTACATTTGTAAGGCATTCATTGCTCGGCGCCCGTCGCGTGCCATTATACAGGATCAATTTGTGGCTGTCGCTATCTTGTCTTGTGATCCGCGTACAGATTGAGTCCATACCTAACGCTTACATAAGCCCGAATACAATAGTGTTAAATTGATAAATCTGTACTAAAACAGTACTAACATTAACATGACACATGAATAATGTAGTAGGTATCTAAGTATGATAAGTATACATAATTTAAACGCTTCAGGCCTTTCACATAAATCAAAAAGATAATGATGGAGTAAATAAACAGGAACATTTAGGTATAACCACGCTTTATTTTCCAAGCGATTACATAAAGGACGCAGTTTTCATTCTCCGGCAATTGTCGATTTCCCAAAGGATACCATTGTGTTTGTGGCCTGATTTCTTTCAGAGAAATAATATGTTACGAATTCTCTATCTGTGTTTACAAATTACTTTTGATTTAATAGTAATCGTCGAAATAATATTTATTTTTATAAGTTTCTTTTTTTTGTTTAATAAACAATAATTTTATAATATATTGACATAAACTTAAAATTACTTAAAAACTAAAATTTAAAAATGGTTTCTTAATTTTAATGTCAGATTAAGTATGTAATTGATAACTTTTTAAAAAAAATAAAACCGACTTCAAATGCGTGAACACAAAAAAAAACTAAAAATTAAAAATATTGTGTATAAAAAAGTTCATCCCCAATTTTCCACCCTTGGGGGTGAAATATTTTCTTCAAATTCGCATGAAACCACCCTTTTGATAATACCTATTCAAGAAAAAAATAATCGTTCAAATTGATTTATAATCGGCGGAGATATTGCGTATAAAAAAGTTCATCCCCAATTTTCCACCCTTAGGGGTTGTTTTTTCTATTATTAAATTTAAATGGGACCACCCTTGAGGTATTACCTATACGCCGAAAAAATATTTGTTCAAATCGGTTCATAATTGGCGGAGTTATCGCGTAACAAAAAAAACATACGGGTCGAATTGAGAACCTCCTCCTTTTTTGAAGTCGGTTGAAAATAGTCCCGTAATAACTTGAATGATTTTATATTTTGCAAGAAATAATATTTTCACGCTGATTTGTTTAATTGCCTTGCTGTTTGCAAGGCAAGTTTTAAAGAATTTTAAAACAAAACCAGTTTTAAAACCATATTGTGAACCTAAAGTTTCGCAAACAAATGTTCGAATTATAATATTTTGTATTTTATAATAAATCAAATGAAATTGCAATAAAAACATTAAAGGAAAATACTTGCGAGTAGACAGCGTATTTACTTTAATTTGGCTTTACCTTGTGTAAAAATTAATCAAAGTGTTACAATTACTCCATTCTCTTTCCAGTTTGTACTGAACCCGTCGAAAATCCAACGGGGTCATTCCCCGCCCCATATACCTAGTCCTATTTAACCCTGTTCCGTAATACTTTAAACACTGGCCATTTTGAAGTTCACGCGGTCGGTTTTATGAATGAAAATTAGTTGTAGAAGCTTCATTATTCAACGAATAAGAGTGAATTAAAAATTTAGAGATTATACTCACGGGTGAGAGTAAATTCCGAGTGTCTGGAATACGCGGGCACTGTAGCGCGGCAAGGGGCACCAAAGTGATGGTCCAGGGGGCTGTTCTAGAACTGATGGCGAGACGGCGGGTCGGCGCAGCCGGTCAGGATATTGATTTTGGGCGGGAACGTTTTCCGCGACCGAGGCGACACCTATCAGCATACCGACGACTTATCTCGAAGCCTCCACAGTTTCGCAGTTCGCTTGTTAGGTGGCGCCTCGACTCTACCTGAAAGTTATTTCGCTAACGTCGAGCTTTATTTTTTCATGACTCAGTCAAAACTTAATTTTCTAAGACGATATATTCAACTGCCTATAAAAGTCCGATACTAATAAACTAGTGCAGAGAACTCTAGTACGGTGCGGTGACTGTCGTAAACTAAACTCAGTACGGTAATAAAACGTGTGTTATCCTTTTTTGTGTTTATGAGCCTGCGTAATGATACAACAACGGCAGTTATAAACAACAAATAGTCTTTAAAACTTCGCGAATGTGCAAGTGAGGAAAAATAAATAAGTACTCAACACGATTTTATTACCAGGCACAGATTAGTTGTTTTATAGTACTCTTGATATCAGATCGACAATTAACATTATTTTTGAATCGTGCTTAAAACTTAGATTACCTATTTCATCGAAATTCAACATTTCCAGCAGTAAAAACACATTTTTTTAGCATTTAAATACCTACTTTGAAGTCTATTAGTACTTAAACGATAAAAAAGAGCGATTCTAAAGTGAAGTCTAAGGCTTGAGTTGCACCATCTTACTTTAACTTTGACAAACGTCAAAAAACTATCAAACTCCATACAAAAATCCCCGGTTATTGCTATTGTTACGGTTAAATTAAGGTGGTGCAACTCAGCCTAAATATTTAATACAAAGTATATAAAGTCCTTTTGCACAAAGTAGAGCTACTAAACTAGACCATTGGCGGTATACATTTTATTCCTTCCTTCTACAAATTCCTACTTGTGTATCTCCTTAGGATTTTTGTAATTAATACAAATCTCATTAGCATACTTGTTTACAAAAAATATATATGTAAGGGTTAACAACAAAAAAAATTAAATACTATAAACATCCCGCAAGAGCGCGCGTTGAATTCTTCGCTAGGCAGTGGTCTGAAAATGAAGCTCCCATACCATAGAAACTTAATGTCAGAAATTAATAAATAAAAATATGTATTGTGTTTAGTATACCTCCCTTTGTTTTACTAATATAGTATGAAGGGTATGAGTAGCTCCATGTGTGAGAAAAAAAATATTTTAATTTTTTTTGTATGGAAAAAAACACTTAAAGTGGATTTTTTTTTATCAGAACTTGTGTTTCTTTAATGAAAAGACCGATAGTTAGCGAGGTAAGNCGAAATTCGACATTTCCAGCAGTAAAAACACATTTTTTTAGCATTTAAATAGCTACTTTGAAGTCTATTAGTACTTAAACGATAAAAAAAGAGCGATTATAAAGTGAAGTCTAAGGCTTGAGTTGCACCATACTTTCGTTGCATACTTTAACTTTGACAAACGTCAAAAAACTATCAAACTCCATACAAAAATCACCGGTTATTGCTATTGTTACGGTTAAATTAAGGTGGTGCAACTCAGCCTAAATATTTAATACAAAGTATAAAGTCCTTTTGCACAAAGTAGAGCTACTAAACTAGACCATTGGCGGTATACATTTTATTCCTTCCTTCTACAAATTCCTACTTGTGTATCTCCTTAGGATTTTTGTAATTAATACAAATCTAATTAGCATACTTGTTTACAAAAAATATATATGTAAGGGTTACCAACAAAAAAAATTAAATACTATAAACATCCCGCGCAAGAGCGCGCGTTGAATTTTTCGCTAGGACGCCCCGAGCCAAAGGTTCGTAGCAATTTTCTACGAGCGCACAAATTCACGAATTCGTTAACCCTTTCATTATCTACATCACACGCGGAGCGAGCTGCGATCCCCATTACTCGTGGTTTAAAATTTTACGACTAGACGTAAACTGTGGTTATGTTAGGGGCCGATCCTTTTTGCTCGCTGCGTCTGGGTTTAAGAAATAAAAGCGAAAAAACAATGCGGAGGAGTATCGGAAGGATCGGTGGTGGTATACCTGTGGAGTGGCAGTGTAGTAGTGTACACCTAACACACACCCTAGTGTGCGTGTGTCGTAACGCCGCCCGCGGACGCAGCGTTGCGTGCCCGCCGCGTGCACACTTGAGCCACAAACGCCGTTTTGGTCAATGTTATATCACCGTATACTGGGGCATTGCATATTATTAACGCCGAAGTTGAATTTCAAGTTTTTTCGAACTTCAACGATGAGTTGTTCTTGAAACTTTAGGGCGCTTTCTACCTAAAGCTCATATTTTTAGAAATACATCGCAAATACAATTTTTATTACTGCCAAACTAAATATATTTCCAACCAACTACATAGTTCTAGGTACTCTTATTTTTCTTTTATTGCAATGAGATGTGCATCTAATGCTTCAGAGTCAAATAATTACGTTAGTTTCCTAATCACAGTGTTAGGATGAGTACGCATATAATTAAAGTAATTATTACTAATTACCTATAGTAAACTATAAACAATAATTTTCTCCCGTGTTTAGTTTTAGTATCTCATAAATTTTACTACCTCTTGCACAGTTCATTGATTACAGATATCTCCGTATTTTATGGTAAACCATGCTTTACGTACAAGTTAGAACTCTAGTGTGAACTCATCCGCTCACAGAAAGTAAAGTTTGTTGTTCTCGTAACTCGGTCTGCGGGCGCAGTGTCGCTCCGTCCCGCGCGCAGACCGGTCCGCAATGCCGCTCTGACACCTCGCGCCAGCTGTCAAACTCGCCGTCAACAACTGTCAAACTTGAACGAACTGTCAAAGTGCTAAAACATGTGGCTCGTGTGGAGTTGTCTTTTCGCCAGCGCGCTGCTGGTTCCAGCGCGGGCACAGGTAACCGAAGTTTAAGTTGTTTTAAGTTATTATCCCACAAGTCAACAGGTCCGTAATCCTATAGGTGGATCGATTCATGGTACTCACGTCATTATAACGCAAATGCAGGCTCGGTTTATCATTTACCGAGTGTCAATTGATTAAGTACTTATGCTAAGTTGTTTCGATGAGATAACTAAACGTCAAGGTGTCTATTCTTGGACGAACTAACGCCTACTCGAAGGTCATGATTCAACTTATTTACTTTTTGTTTACTCAACTTGAATTCAATCAGATTCAATAACCGAAATTATACTCGTACATAGCAAAACCTATTGGAATATTTTTTTAATACAAAAAATCTTAAATATAATAACCCAATATCGATATTTAAAGAGGCTGTAAAACTATGTAAAACTATAAACTTTGAATCTATCATTTTATAGTGTTAAATCCCGAGGGATGGGCAATAACCTTTCTGTAACAAACCGTAACCCACGCGATCGGAGCCAAGCCAAAGGCTAATATGAGTTACCAATACTTATCGCTAAAAAAACTATTAAAAACGTTGGCTAACACCAACCCTTTATTAAAATACGCATAGAGTCTATTTTGCGTTGTTCAGTTCGTTGGAGGAAAACCTATTCTACCAACCAACACGAATAAAGGTAGGACATAAAAATGCAAATAATTACATTGGCAGATGCACAAGGTTATAAAGTTTTAAGCTATTAAAGAAATACATTAATATCGAAGAACAATAGTATTAGAAAATTGCTTTCATTTTTTTGTTTTAAAATATTTGTTTAAAATAGTTGATATTAGAATATTCATGATTCAAATTATTTATTACATTTTTAATTATATTTTATGTACCAATTTTACCAATTCGTTTATCAATAAATCTATAATTATATGGACGTATAAAAAGATATTAGAAGAAATGGGCTCATACACCGAATGCATTTACCTACTGTTGAGTAATGTAATAATAATTCACTTGTGATCATAAAGCATAGTAAAATGTAGGCCTTGCTATCTTCATTTGCCCATAACTTCCTATGTACGTTCGTGACCACACATACGGCCCAAAATTATTCTCTTTTAGCATCACAAAGAGTTAAGGCTGAGTTGCACCACCTAACTTTGACCGTAACTTTGACGGTAACCGGTGTTTTTTGTATGGATTTTGACAGATTTTTGACGTTTGTCAAAGTTAAAGTAAGATGGTGCAACCCAGTCTAAGTGTGTTTTTTTTATTTTCGTCAATAACATAGTTAAATATTTTTTGTTATTTTTTAAAAGCTTAATACTTTTTGTCACGAACGCCTATCAGACGACTATACTCGTTTTTGCTCTACAATTAATCAACTGCTACTATGTGAGCTATTTTAAGTACAAAAGTTTTCATATTTCAATATTCGCGTTCATAAAACTACCGGCATTGGTAATCTTAAACAAACACAATATAATAATACAAAACTACTATAACACTCGTATTTACCCTTCAAAACGTACAACTTTGAATCATCTGTTTAATCATTGCTGGAATTACGATGTATGTATTATGTATATTATACCTCATTGTTCACATTAAATAAAGATGTCTAATGGCCATCGATTGTAAGATACCATTTTGTTGAATAATGATTTCAGTGTGTCACAATTTCAGCGTTGTCTGAAACATATACCTAATAATTTACTTAGTTAAATCAACATAGGATAAGAATAAGAATAACTTTATTAACACACATATAACAAGACAATACTACTTATAATACATGGAAATGTGCCGAATGGACCTATACGAGTATAACTTGTAAAGTTGTAATTACTGTGGCATATTATTGAATCTGATGTGCAAGACTCATCATCATCCAACAGCAAATTACAATATTTATCATTGTCATTGTAAATGTTAATACATACCTCACATTATGTAGGTATATTATACTAAAAATCCACATCGATAATTATTTATGGCTGTGTAAAACAACGTAAATTGTTCTGACTACTACGAAAAGTACGAACTTTGCCCGCGGCTCTACACGCGATGATTTTGGTCCGCAAGCGTCAGGAAAGGTTCCAGCGCATATAATCTACTAGCTTTCCGCCCGCAGCTTCGCCCGCGTGGAATTTTGTCTGTCACAGAAAAACTTTATCGCGCGCGTCCCTGTTTCAAAAACCGGGATAAAAACTATCCTATGTTCTTTCCCGGGACTCAAACTATCTCTATGCCAAATTTCATCAAAATCGGTTGCGAGGTTTAAGCGGGAAAGCGTAACAGACAGACAGACAGACAGACAGACAGACAGACAGAGTTACTTTCGCATTTATAATATTAGTTGGGATGTCATAATGTATGTTCATTCCAGGAATAACATATACTTACAGACATTTATCCTCTTTGGAATTGTATAAGGTCGGATCAGTGGCTTCAGATAATACCAGCTACAAATGCAGTCTTTAAAATAAAAAATACCGTTCAGTCTTATTAGCAAAGTACCTAGTTTACAATATTACAATACACATTACAAGTTTAATGTTACAATTAAATCAGCACATAAAACTTTACATTTTTTTAGAAAATAGCACCTAGGTAATACAAAAATAAAAGATACCTAGGTACTATACTGCTTGACTATTTATTATACTTGAGATGCTACGTCGTCTCTATGCATCAGTTTGAACACATTAACTGATGCCTATAGATGCAGTATTCATGAGAAGAACCAGTTTTAAGTCTTGCATTGTACACTTAAAAATTCAAACTTATAAATACAATGTCGTTCACGAGTCTGTCGACAAGTGAACTATACACACCGCTGAGTATGGTGCCTGCATACCTTATATGTAAATGAGGTAGAGGTAGGCTGATCAGCTGTGCAACTGTATAAATAGAAATTAATTTTATGCCATGCCTTGTCATTGTCTTACTCCCATATTACGATAGAGGTTTCCTTATGTTTTATGGAGGTTAGATAATATGTTTGAAGGTTATTAAGCTTAACAACCATTTTGAAAGATGTATATGCCCGTTTTCACCATCAATTCCTAATTTTTAAGTGACCCCTATGAAAACAAAATTCCTGTTAAATGTTACCATAGGGGTCACTTAAAAATTAGGGATTGATGGTGAAAACGGGCAATAGACTTTTTTACGAAAGCTTCATAATTGACAAAGCTTAGGTAGAGTCGATCCATAAATAAGTTATGGTTAACGGAGATTTGAAAATATCCTGCCTAAAACTTGAAACTGCTTTTTTAAAGTTTTAATATTCTTTGTTTCGGACTCTTCTATACCAGATACATTGACTTATTAAAACAATTGATGCACATAAACTTGAGTTTTACTTTAGCTATTACCTTTTTGATGCGGACTTCTCAACTTTTAGAACACAAAAGTTACACACATGACTGGCAACGTTGCAAATACTACTAAAGTGCGTGTTGCAGCCCGTACTAAAGTCGGTCTTGCTATTCTATACACAACTATAGTAATTAGATTAACTGTAGTCGAGAATGTTGTCAATAAATTGCAAAAGGAAATTACTTGGACTAATAAAATTAGAACATTTTATTCTTAAGCATCACTGAATGGTAGTACTTATTTTTAATTTAGCTTAATGTTTAGTTAATTAGCTATTAGCTGTACCGGAAAATCATAAAGCTTAACGCAAAGAGGAAAATCGACACTTTCTTCCTATAACAGTAAGATAGAACAGTTACATCGGTTTGAAACATATTTTTTCTCTTTTTTGTCTAGCAGTTATCACGTGTGACTATGATAATTGATAATGAAACAAGTACTTACTTCAATATTAATTACCCTAGGTCTATGGAGTTAATGTTACTTTGGTTTGCATGATTGCTAAAATGTATTAGCGCAGTCTATACCGATCGCTATTCAATGCAAGGACTATGACACTTTCCAACATGAAAATAATCTCCAACTATATTCTATGCTAACAAGCCAGTTACCTACTTACTCTACATATCTAAAGAAAGTACCCTTAAATTCCGTTACGAACCAGGGACAAAGATACAGCGGAATGTTTCGGAATTCCAGCATTATCACAATCTTATTACCAGAATGCAATGCGGTTTACGTTAGCTTCAAACCACGACCAAACCACAAAGCGCAAACAGACAAATCCTGCGGCCAATTTCCGCCATATTAGGTTCTGATGTCGAGGCAATGCCAGTCGGCAGCGGTGGCAGCGTGGACGGTGCGCAAGGCCGGTATGCGCCTACGCATTGCGCCTTATGCTCTATGCCTTAGGTGTTTGTACTTGAAAACGAAAAACTTAACTTACTGTATTATGCGTTTCCTGACTTCGAAGTAAACACTACTTTACATATCCTAAGTAGAATATTTTATTTCATCATCATCATTTCAGCTACAAGACGTAATCCTGAATATGTTTCCCTATGATTTCCAGATTGGCCTGTTGGTAGAGCCCTGCAACCAATATTGTTGTTGTGATATTACAAGCATGCACATCAACAACCTAAATGCTTTTTAATGGCTAGGTTTTAGCCTAGTTATAATTTCAACTGCATCAAGATTCTTGAAACAAATATTTGAGCCAACAGAAATGCGTTCTTCTAACTTACCCAACAACGCCAAACGTTTGTGCGCATTGAAATCCCTACTAATATTATAAATGCGAAAGTAACTCTGTCTGTCTGTCTGTCTGTTACGCTTTCACGCCTAAACCACTGAACTAATTTTGATGAAATTTGGCATAGAGATAGTTTGAATTCCGGGAACGGACATAGGATAGTTTTTATCCCGGTTTTTGAAACAGGGACGCGCGCGATAAAGTTTTTCTGTGACAGACAAAATTCCACGCGGGCGAAGCCGCGGGCGGTAAGCTAGTAGTCTTATAATTTAAGCTTAGGATAGTCTGAATACCTGTATGCACAGCAGTTCTGTAATTTATTGGTCATTCATTCACGGAAAGGAACTGTGACTCAAGACTCGCTATTGAGTCAACACTGAGCGCACACTACCTTTA